CTTAGACTTCTTGGATATCCAACAGGAATAGGATTGGTGGCTTTAGAAGCAGAAAGACTCAGTTACTGTCTTGTGAGAACAGTAGTTCAAAGACTGACTGTTTCCAACTTTCAGAACTTAGGATATTTGGCAAAAAAAGAAAAATAATAATTTGAAGCTTTGAAATCATTGAATCTCAAGTTTCAAGGAGCAAAACACTGACATCATTGCTCATCAGGGTACATTTCAGCACTTATAGCCAAAACCCAGCTAGAGACACAGCACACTGGCACTAAGAATGTCTTCATCTGCTTGACTTACTGAAGCTCTTTAAGACAAGGCTCTGGAAAACAATTTCATGGAGGAAAAAGTCAAATCGCATTTCGCCTGTTAGGAGGAAACAAACCACGGAGTCCTCCCCGGCCTTACGATTGCAGGTTCTCTCTCGGAGCTGGTGAGGAACCAACCCTCTTCTCACTGTTGTTCTGTCTTTGCCAGAAGATCTCCGAGGCCTTTGCTGGAATGCTGGGTTGCTTCGGATGCCAAAGACAACTTCCAGAAAATCCCGTTGGAGGCTTTTGGGAGGAAGCATTCCCTGTTTTCCCCCACAGTGAGCAGCTCTTCTGTGGCATCCCTGTCGCTTCCTCCCAGCAAGGCTGGCTCCAACTTCTGGGACGTAGGACAATGGATCCGCCTGGACCCTGGGCACAGCACGGGGAGTGCCTTTCCAACACGACTTCCACTCTTGGAGGCCTGGCGCTTATTATTCCGTGTGTCTTCATTGGTGATGAATGTACAGAGTTGGAGAGCAAAGTTTGGTTCAAGCCATTTGGGGTCTAAGAAGGGTCCATAGAAATGGGCACAGGATGTTGAGAGCATTTCCCCTCCAGTATCGCTGGAATTGTAGTTGCCAGGGATTTGCAAAATTACCCTTTATTTGTGGCTAATTATTGAAGAACTAGAGGACCAGTGCACCGTGGGGTCCCTCGGCTTGGCCTGTGGGGATTGGGCCAAAACCGGCTCTCCAATGGCCCCCAAAGGGTCCCGGATTGGGAGAGGGCGGTTCTTGGGTGATGCACCCTGGAATCAGGCTCCCTCCTCTCTGGTTTTGGGTGCATCACCTGAGAACCACAGCTGCCAAGTCACTGCAGCTCCGCAGCTCCTGCGTTGAGCATCTGCCCCTGGTGGTCATTGCGTGTCAGAGCTACCGGCCAGCTAGTTGCTTAGGCTTTTATATATACTAGAGGCCCGTTGCAGGAAGATTCCTGCAAGAATAGGACTTCCTTGGGCCCATTCCTGCAAGAATAGGGCTTCCTGAGGCCGGAGCAAAGCAGCGAAGGGATGTTGATATTCGCTCCCTTCTCCGCTGCCTCACTCCCTCCTGTCTCTGCTGCCATGGCTCCGCTCCCATGTCTGCTGCCTCGCTCCCTTCTGTAGCACTTGGCTTCCTTCTACCCTGTCTTCAGTCTTCCCTCTGCACCTGCATATGCAAATTAGCTGCCATCTTTGTTGGATTAATTTGTGTACTCATCCTGATTGGCTTGTGGGTGTAGTGGAGTGACACCAATTTGCATGTTTCTCTTTTATTAGTGTAGATATTCGGAGCCCAGTATACAAATTCATGCACCTTGAAAGGAACTGTGGGCCGCGAGGCTGTGGTAGGCACAGGGCGGCCCATCCTCTGCACCCCCAGCCAGCCCTCCCGCCACAGCCCCCAGTCCTCTGTCTGCTGGCAGCCCAGCTCCCACTGCCACCACTCTCACACGCTGATGGCCTTGCCCCCGCTGATGGCGTGGAGTGATTGGGGCCCATGCCAGCAGTGGGTGCAAGCAGGGCCAGTGCCATCAGTGGGTGCAAGTGGTGGCTGTCTCCCTGATCGCCTCTCAGAAGCAAGAGGGGGTGGAGAAGCCATCAGGGACTGTTGGGGCCAGGGGCTGCTGCCTGCTCGTACCTGCTGATGGCGCCGAGTGATTGGGGGACCAGTGCCGGGCACCAGGTACGAACAGGGCCGGCGCTGGCAGTGGGTGCAAGCTCTTGGGCAGGACCGCGGTGCTCATGGGAACAAAGAATTTTCAGTAACCACCAGAGGCTCGCCCCAGGTCAACACACATCATAGCGACCGGTTGTTGGTTTGTTCCATTGTTCGGTCTGTTTGCATATTAGCCTTTTATTATATAGGATAGATAATCCAAGAATTGAAATGTACTTCCCATAAACATGTCAAATGGGCTTTCTGGAAAAGAGCAGGGGAGGCAATGAGGCTTCGTGGGAAACCTGCCTGAGCTTCCCTGTCGCCCTGGGTGAACTCAGACCCACCTCAGGCTGAAGGCAGGACGGTGTCAGAGGAAACCCTGGTTTGCTGGCTGTTCCTCCCATAGACCACTCAGAACAGCACGGTGTTCAGAAAATTTACCACCTTTATCATTATCAGCTCACCTTACCTGTGATACCACGACCTGCACTGGGAAGGAGTTGGAGAAAATACTTTATACCAAGCGACTCCCTGGGACAGGGCTTGGTGCTTACATTTTGGGATCTTACTTAAGCCTTCCGTCCTCCTTGTAAGGTTAGCATTTCTGCTCCCATTTCACAGAAGGGAACACTGACACGGGCATTTAAGTAACCCCTGCAAAGAACCCACTCAGAGTTCCCATTTGTCGTGCATTTTGTGGGCTCCCAGAGATTCTTGGGTTCCTGCCCAAAATGTTCCCCAAGACCTTGTGCCCGAGGGTTCCTGTACCTCTCACTCACCTCGAATCTAATCACGCTGCACCACTGTGGGAACACGGCTTCGCTTTTAGGGTCTCAGTGTCCTCATCCGTAATGAGGTCACCAATTGCCACCTTCCTGGGCCGTGATGACTTAAGACATCCTCAGCGTGAACTGCCCAGCTGGGCGCAGACACACAGCCGGCGCCACACAACGCGCCACACTGCCCACTGCCAGGCTCGATGCCCCTCTCCCACCCCTGCCCCAAGGGTGGATGTCGACTGAGAAAACACAATTGCTGTTAGCTGCTTATTCTTTTTCATTCTCGGCGGAACTGATTTGATTTGACCAAACAGGGAGACTGGTTTCAAAAGCCTGGGTCACAGCTCATAATTGGCCAGCTCAGCGACCGTGTAACCCTCGTTGACCTGTGGCTCCACGTCCCCACACACTCGCCCTGGCCTTTGATTGTGGTCCCGGGCAGTGTCATTCCGCGAGTCCTATTTGCTGCCTGGATGGGAGAGGAGCGGGTGCCCAGGAGTTTAACCCCGAGGTGATTAAGAGGGAAAATGGGAGCCGTGTTCGTGAAGGCCCAAGGTACATCAAAAGGCCCTGGGCACAGGCGATGCCGAAGGCAGCACGGGGAACTGCAGGGTGTGCTTCGCCTCTTCCTTTGATCCTCAAGTTTTCTGAGTCACACTGACTTCCTGGGACAGTTTGGAAGCTCAGTGGGGCGTGGACAGGGAGAAGAAAAACTTGAAGGATGAAAAAGGAGGAGTGTTTTTCTGGCAGGCGGCTGAGGGAGGGTAATTGCTGGAGACGTGGTGGTTGCTGGGGAGTCTCTGAGGCAGCCGTGGTGGAGCTGGTCCAGGATTTCAGGGGGCGTGGGCACAGAGGAGCGACACCGTTCCCTGTGCCTTGTGTTGCTGGGGCTTCTGGGTGGTAGGCATGCACTGAGCCTACTGTGTGCAGGGTGTTTTGCTAAGTATCCTTGGGAGATGGGGTTTTACATTAATAATGTGTTTTTTTAATGTTTTTTATTGTCTTTTGTTTGTTTGTTTTTGTAGAGATAGAGGTAGGGAGAGGAGGGAGATAGAAACATCAACATCCATGAGAGAGAATCAGTGATTGGCTGCCTCCTGCAAGCCCCCTATTGGGGTTCAAGCCCCCACAACCTGAGCATGGGCCCTGACTGGGAATCAAACTGGTGACCTCTTGGTTCATGGGTCAATGCTCAACCACAGAGCCATACCGGCCGGGCGTAATGTTACTTTTAATTCATGGCTCTCTAGCCTATTATGAAACTGCACTTAAAGTGGAGAGCGTACAGGCTCGGGCATCAGGAAGACCTGGTTACGCATTCTGACATCACTGCGCCCGGGTTGTGTGGCTTTGAAAGCCTTACTTATCGTCTCTGGGTATGATTGTTAAATGGAGTGTTGCTGGCACTCCATGGAATGGTAACTGCTTTTCTGGGAAAACTTTGAGATTGATTACAGTCCTACTTTCTGCTTCCTTGCTGACCTTAATTATTTTACGCTTGGCACGGACTCATGCATCCACCCTTCCAGCATTTATTGGATATTATGGTAATGTTACCACAAAGATAAATAGTATAGTAAGGCCCAGTCTTTGTCCTTACTGAATTCCTAATCTTCACAGAAAATATTTGATGAAATAATTGACCAAATACAATATAACAGGTATATTTTTATAGTTCTTATGTACAAAATACTTTTGGGACATGTTGAAGGATATTTTGCCTGCAGTTTGAAAGTTTCCCCTGGGAAGTGATGCTTCTGAAACAGGGTTTTGAAGGATGAATAGGAGTTTACCCAGGAAGAGCTAAATAAACTTAATCATTATTAATATTTCTTCTCTCCCCCCCTTCCTTTTTTTGCCCACTTCCACGTCCTTCTACTCCTCACCTCCCTTTTTTTCCCCATTCTCCTCCTTCTTCACTCTTCCTCCTCCTTCATAGTCATGCTTTATTGATGACAACAGTGTCGAGCTAGTAACGTGTCAAGTCAGGAAAAGAAGACAGTGCATTTAATTAGGAAAAATTATATTATGATTGTCTTCTTGAAACAGCATGTTAGTTTTTATCACCGTAATAAGTCATTCTGTTCTCAACTTTGTTCCCAGCTCCGTCTGGATGCATTTATTTGTAACCCACTTTCCATCTGTTTTCTCTTGTAAATGGGGTTGTGAGCAGAACTTCGCGATGTAGTAATGCATGTCTGGGGTACGTGGAGGGGCTGGGGTGTGATTCACTCTGGGTTAACTCTTCCCTGGTCTTTCTGCACCCACAGATGGGAAGCCCGTGTCGCTGTCTCCGCTGGAGTCCCAGCCCCACAGTCCCCGGTACTCGGCCCTTGGCCAGCGGGAGCGCGAGAGCCTGGAGGTGCGGGTGCGTGAGGTGGAGGAAGAGAACCGAGCCCTCCGCAGGCAGCTCAGCCTGGCCCAGGGCAGGGCCCCAGCCCATCGCCGTGGCAACCACTCCAAGACCTACTCCATGGAAGAGGGTACTGGGGACAGCGAGAACCTTCGAGCTGGCATCGTGGCGGGCAACAGCTCCGAGTGTGGGCAGCAGCCAGTCGTGGAGAAGTGTGAGGTAAAGAGCACCTAGAATCATCCGAGACCCAACTGCCCCCACCCCTTGCAAATGCTGGCCTAGAAGCACCGCCAGATGCCTGGACAGGGCTGGCGCTCTTGACTCAGGCCTGGGTGTGAATCTGACATGGCCACTAACTCTGCTGTTGGCCTGACAAACGGTTAGCTTCTGAGCCTCAGTTTTGCCACCTGTAAAATGGGGATAAGAAAGCCTACACTACGCCAAAACCGGTTTGGCTCAGTGGATAGAGCGTCGGCCTGCGGACTGAAAGGTCCCAGGTTCGATTCCGGTCAAGGGCATGTACCTTGGTTGCAGGCACATCCCCGGTAGGAGGTGTGCAGGAGGCAGCTGATCAATGTTTCTCTCTCATTGATGTTTCTAACTCTCTATCCCTCTCCCTTCCACTCTAAAAAATCAATAAAAATATATATTTTTTAAAAAAGGCAAACTGATGGAAGCCAGCTCCCCTTTCTTCGCAGTTCATTTGGACTTGCTCAAGGTTTATAAACCTGGTTGTCACCCAGGGGACCCCTGTTACTTAGACCAGGAGTCACCAACCTTTTGGACCTCACGGACCACTGGTTGTTAACCACTGACTGAGACTACAGTGTGAGTGGTGTACCCGGGGTGGTGGCCCTTTTGGGCAGCTCCCTCGGGTCTCATTCTCACTTCAGGAACAGCTTCTACAATTCAGAACCAGAGACTTACTGCTCATCGAAGGCAGTGGTTTGAACTTTCATAGCTTCATATCACTTTGCCCTTTTTAGGGTATGCTTTATTTCTTAGTAACTCTCTAGACATTTGGAAAACTTACCCTCTTCCTATCACCCTCACCCTCCTCATTCATACAACCATGCTTACTGTGTACTGAATACACACACACACGCTTTCTCTCTAGTTCACTCATTTCCGGCTGCTTCTAGTTCCCAATGGACAGGAATTAGAGCTTCCCTGTTAAGAGCAAGAGCTTTGGAGACACACAGAAGCCCGAGTTCATATCCCAGCTCTGCTGGTTTCTGCTGAGAGTACTTGAGCAAGTGACCTAACCTCTCGGAACTTCAGATGTCTCCCCACTAACTCTGAAAAGTAATACCTGCCTGTACTACATATAAGTAGAGAAATTTCTATGAAAGAGCAAAATGACAAAGTAGTGGCAAACCAAATTTAAGTCATATTTTTAATTTAAATTCTTTAATGTTTAAAGTTCTGCATACGTTTCCAGACGCAGAGTCATTGTTCCTTGGGAGTAGGTCCCAAAAATCTGAGTATTAAAAGAATCTACTCCGATGATTCTGAGATAGTGGACACTGTTTGGAAGTCACTGCTTGAAGGCACACATGCATGATGTGATTCTCTGTATCCCTGGGCTCTTTGAAAGGTGATGTAGGAATCTAGGAATTGAACCTTGAGGTTGCTGATTGTTACTATAACTTATTTTTTAGGTTTTTTTTTTAAATATATTTTATTGATTTTTTACAGAGAGGAAGGGAGAGAGAGAGAGTTAGAAACATCAATGAGAGAGAAACATCGATCAGCTGCCTCCTGCACAACTCCCACTGGGGATGTGCCCGCAACCCAGGTACATGCCCCTGACCGGAATCGAACCTGGGACCCTTCAGTCCGCAGGCTGACGCTCCATCCACTGAGCCAAACCGGTTTCGGCTATTTTTTAGTTTTTTGACTTGCACCTGAGAATCAGATTATATTTGTTTTCCTCTTTCTTTGTGTTAATCAGTAATATTACTTCTTACACACTTAAAAAGTGATTTTTGGTAAATTTATCTGTGATGAGCCCCCCCTGGTCCTGTTCAGATCTTCCATAGATGAATTTGAAAGTCTTGATCTCCTGGCATCTTATTCCAAAGTAATCTCTTCTGGGTACACATTTACCTTGAGATGCTGGCTTCATACCCATCAGCAGTATACGTCCTCTGTCTCCATGGCTTGGTGTCTATAAATTTTAGTGAAAAAGCCATAGAGGCAAACAAGAATGTCAGTCAATGGAGTCAAAATAGAAGCCTCCCTTCATCTAACCCGTGGTGGTGACAAGTGCTGAAGCTAGTCTTTTTTTTTTTTTTAATATATTTTTATTGATTTCAGAGAGGAAAGGAGAGGGAGAGAGAGAGATAGAAACATCAATGATGAGAGAGAATCATTGATTGGCTGCCTCCTGCACTCCCTCTACTGGGAATTGAGCCCACAACCCAGACATGTGCCCTTGGCCAGAATCGAACCCGGGACCCTTCACTCCACAGGCCGACGCTCTATCCACTGAGCCAAACCGGCTAGGGCTGAAGCTAGTCTTGACACGCTGTCAGATGCAGGCCCCTGTAACCAGGGATGCCACCCTCATCTCCTGTTGGTCTGAAACTTCTTTAGAGAATGACAAGTGTTTCTGAAAACTCCTCTGTAATGATGCCCAGGCTGTCAGCTGAGATTATCTGATGATAGAAACAGGGGCCCTCACCAGCCCTGTGACGCTCATCATTTCCTAATCCTGTGGGTCGCAGCTCGCTGCCCGTATGATCCCTGCATTTCTGCTGTCAGGGCAGGGCTGCCCCCGTGAGGGGCTGGTCTTCGTGCCTTGAGACTTGGAGCAGAATGATTCTCTTTGATCTTCCCTTGTGCCTATGTGTGTATAGATATGTATATTTTTCTTGCATTTCTGGTCTCCTTTGGGCATCAGCTGTGGAGCAGCAGAACAATCACTGGACCTAGAGTCGGAGTTCCTGACCAGGAATCTTTGCTTTGCCACTCACTAGTCATGTGACTTCGAACAATCCGGGTGCTCCGTAGATTCTGCTTCATCACTACAAAATGAGAATATGTTTTCCAAGTGCAGTTGTGAGGACGAAATGAGGTAGCGGGTGGGAAGCTAACTCCTTATGAGTGTCATATATACTTATGGCAGATATTGATATTCCAGTTTCCTAGCAAATCCCCTAAAATGTAGTGGCTTCAGACACCTGTGTTTTATTACCTCTTATAGTTTGTGTGGGTCTAGGGCTTGGGAATTTTGCTTAGCTGAGAGGCTCTTGTTGGGGGCCCTTATATTAATGTCCTTATTTTGTGGCTGGAGCTGGAATAGTGCAGGCCTGGAGCAGTGGGGGCCGGCTGGCCTGGCATCGCTGCTTTTTCCTGTTGGAGACTCTGGCCTCACCCTGTGGTCTTTCTGCAGGGGCTAGTTGGGCTTCCTCACAACATGGCAGCTACAGGGCAGTCGGCTGCTTTCCTGGCGGCTGAAGTACAAGTACTCCAGCGAGGAAGCCAGAGCGAGGCACTTTGTGACCTGGCTCAGAAGTCACATAGTGTCTGCTCCGCTGGTAATGTTGAAACATGCACAAAAGCCCACCCAGTTTCCAGGGGGTAGAAACACACACCCCATCTCTCAGTGGGAGGGATGTCTAAACATATGTGGATATACTTTCAGCAGAAACAATTGACGTGGTCATTATGGAAGGTCAGGCGAACGGTATTGTCTGATGTCAGACCACCTTTAAGGAGGGATCTCTCTTTCCTGTTCTCTGTGCTTTGAACTTTATTTCTTGGTAGCAGTGTACTAGTAATACACACTAACGTCTACCAGACAGTGCTAAATGTTACCAGACACGACACTTGCATAACATCTCTCATTTCGTCCCCACAACATACTTCCTAACTTTTAAAGATTAGAAAGCTAAAGGTGAAATAATTAATTCAAGTCACACTGCCAGGAAGAGGTGGAGCTGGCATTATATCTAAGCTGTGTGCTTCCAGAATCCGTGCTGTGAACCACAGTATTAAATGCTCTGTGCCTGATCGCTCCTGGGGCCCACCCTTACCTCAGCCTCAGGGCCCCGGTTCTTGTTCTGGCAGGTGCCTCGTCTCAGAAGGCTTCCTTCCGGGTGACCAGTTAATGATATGGGGGTCCGCTTTCACACTGGGGGTCGTAGCTACCTCACGAGGGTTCTCATTTCTCAGTGGGTCTAAGCAAGGATGTGTTTGTTCCTTTGAAAGAAGTTGGGTGGTTTTAAATTGCCTTCCAGATTGTGGCTGCATTTGTTAGCTACCATTTGGCTTTAGGCATTAGGCTTATAACAGTTGTCACCTCTCACCTGTGTTTACTGGGTCCCTAACCAGCCCACAGTATTTTGAGCTGTTTGATCTATTTCCTATTTTTACTCGGTCTTCCAGGATTTTTGTATAATACTAGAGGCCCGGTACATGAAATTCGTGCACGGGGTGTGTGTGGGGGGGTGGGGATCCCCTCAACCCAGCCTGCACTCTCATCAATCTGGGACTCCTCGGGGGATGTCCAACTGCCGGTTTATGCCCCATCCCAGGGAGTGGGACGGTCTCGGACCTAAACTGGAAGTTAGACATCCCTCTCACAATCCGAGACCGCTGACTCCAGCCTGCTGTTTGGTCGTTACTGTGAGGGCGTCCTGACCAATTTACATATTACCCTTTTATTAGTATAGATCCCAGCAGTGGAGGGATGTGTGCCTCTAATCTTCCCGTGTACCATGTGACTATTGGAAGACACTGGCATAGCCCGTGGACTCGCATTTTATTCGCTTCATGCGTCACCTCTGGGGCTCCTCGAGGATGTAGATCCACTAAAATATCTTCCCTAAATGTCAGCCCTGGCATTAGGGACTGTTGTAGATGGAGGAGCCTCGTAAGATTTCTTAGGCAGCAATTTTCAGGGAGTCCTGGCTCCTGTCACCTCTGAGGTACCTTCCCTGAGTCTAATAGTTACTTATTGCTTCATAGCATGTTATCTCCAACACCTAACGGCTTAAACAATAAGCGTCTATTATCTCGTGCAGCTTCTGAAAATGAGCAATCTGGGAGCAGTGTACAGGGTTGGGACTTGAGATCTCACAGGAGGTGGCAGTGAAGACACCCGCTGGGGCTGCGGTCACCTGTGGGCTTGCTTGGGGCTGGAGGCTGCACCTCCAGGATGGCACACGGGCCTGGCTGGGGCCACAGTTCCGTGGGGCTCCTCGAGAGTCCTC